TTATAAATAGTGGACTGGCACCTCTCTCTCACATACATGCATACATACATACAACCACTTGCAATCCTCTCCCCCACAACCAAAGGCTTCACCTGTATCCAAGGGATTTCCCCCATCCCACCTTTCTTCATCTAGGATAAGTATTTTCTTATACTTTTTTTCCTCTCTTGTTAAATTTTTTTTTTTCTGTTAATTCAGTAAGGAAGACAGGCCACTACCCATTTCTTTATATAGATTAGGGAGTTCACTTTTGTTTAAGGTATCGGCTTGATTGGCATCATTTTTCTTCATACCCCACCTTTGTCGCTGTCCTTTATTTTTCTTCTCAGCTCCAGGGAGACCATGTTTAAATCTGTAGCCATAGAATATGTCTACACAAAGCCATCTATAGAAATAGAATATGTCTACCAGGATCCCAAGTTTTCCAGAGGCTTTCACCATTCCTATATTAGAAAAAAAAAAAAAAGGCGATTTGTCATATCAATCAGAGGTATGGTTCTAGGGAGGAAATTATTGAATTATATCCTCGCACGCTTGTGTGTCAGCAAAAATATAGAGATCGAGAGCCTCAAGAAGGCCATGTAGCAAATAGTACGTTTTAGGATCAAATGTATCCAATTAGTGGGCCATGCGGTTAGGAAGGCTTGAACCTTACAGCTTCTTCAAACTGCAGAAAAGAATGAGATTGAAGATTTGAACTTTAATCTTTTGAGCCTAGAGAGCAGGGGTTGATTGGTTTTCACTATATAGGAATAGAGAAAATCACACCCATGTGAAGATGTGAGAATTGTTCAAGCTTGACAATATGTAGATATGATTTTTATATAGTATAGAGATACCAAAAACGGCACTTAGATTAAAAGAAGATATAGAAGGAGCAGCTTATTGACACCTGTCTAGAGCATATACAGTTGTTATTTCTGTCTACAGCATAGAAATAAGGAAGATCACACCTAAATGAAGATGAATATGCAGGGGCAAAATAGGGAAGATGACACTTAAGTCAAGATGAATATGCTCGAGGACAAGCTTGTTGATGTTTATTTGGGTCACAATAAATTTGTAGGAAGATCACACCTAAATGAAGATGAATATGCTGGGGCAAAATAGGGAAGATTACACTTACGTCAAGATGAATATGCTGGAGGACAAGCTTGTTGATGTTATTTGGGTCACAATAAATTTGTAGGAAGATCACAACTAAATGAAGATGAATATGCAGGGGCAAAATAGGGAAGATTACACTTACGTCAAGATGAATATGCTGGAGGACAAGCTTGTTGATGTTATTTGGGTCACAAAAAATTTGTATGGATGTTTGCATGCATCTAAGGCCATAATTTTATATTCATGTGAGGATTTTATTATTCAAGTAAAGAGTGCTCTACGTTATTTCGATGACATGTCTTTATGCATGTGTGTAACATAAGAATATAATGCAAGTCATTTTAAAAAAAAAAATGAGGAAGAAAAAAGGAACAGATAAATCAAAAGGAACATGATATTATATTCTTTTGCTAGTTTGACAAAAAAGAAAAGAAAACTTCGATAATTTCTGTTGCTGGTTAAGAAAGAATACCCATTTATTTGTTGAAAAATGATAACAGATCAAATGATGCGTAATTTGCATATTTGTTGCTTGTTGTCTTCCGCTTTTGCAACTGGCTCCATGCATCCAATATCATTTAGTCTGTTAAAAGAGAGGAAAATCAACAGTCCCTCTTCACCACACTTTCTAAAATTTTTAAAAGAGCCAAGAAACAGAAAAATGTAATTTTGAATAATGGAGGAATCAGGTGCAGGTTTGATTGGTTAACTACATCCAAGTTTGAATCGTCTATTATTTGGGGTTGGCTATGTGAATCATGTTTCTCTATTTTTCTTTATCTTATCATACCTTCAATAAGCCCAAAAATCATGGCATCTTTTCTCATTACTTCTATCCATGTCCTTTTGGACTTCTTTTTGTTTTTTTAGAGCCTTCCACTTGAACCAAATAACATCTCCTAACCGGTGTTCTATTGATTAAGGTCTTAAGAACTGGCAAACTACATCCAAGTTTGAATTCCACTGCTGAACTACCCTAAAAAATAAATGGATATGAACTAGCAAAAACAAGATTACCCAGGTATTTCCAATTTTAATCAATATATATGTATCTTGTGAAATTGTGATAACAAAGATTTTCCTGTACGAGATCTGTTAGCATTAAATCTATTGCCCAAAATATACCTGATTATATATTCTAGATGTTATTTACGTCCCAAAAGCAAAATATGCTTAAAGAGAGAAGGCAAGAAATCTTCCTCGGTCTTTAGTGATGAAGAGAATGGAAGAAAATCTAGACAAGCAATACCCAACTTGATTAATTCTAAATCCCGTCGGAGACACAAAACAAAAAAGATGAATTCAATTAGGAGATATAGCCACTAAACCTACAATCATGAGTGGAGATTATAGGTTCTGTCAAGCACACACACTTTTGGCTGGATATGTGGGTAAGGAACCTATAATGGAAACTACGGTAGAAGAACCATCAAGACTAGACCAGGAAGTAGTTTCATATTCAATATTTTGACTTCGATAATCACACTTGAAGAGTAACACTGTCAACCCAATAATGAAGTCATCCTGATCTGGAATAAGCTCGTCACACACTCATAATCTATGCACCAAGCTTGCCAAGGCAAGGAACAACTTGGAGATAACCATTCAGTAGTCTATGTTACCATAATGACAAGGAGGCAGGGATCATCTTCTCCTTGATTTCCCATATAACGCGATCTAGCTAGAGACAGGTAACAGCTCTGAGAAAGGTATCCCTAACCAGACTAACGCCTGAGATATTGTTGGAGACAGGTTGACAAAGAAATTAGAATTGGTGATCATTAACACTACATGGAAAACCAGCTTTCCGCTACTAGATGGCACACTTGGTGAGCTAGAGATAACATATCACATAATTATAGGCTCATCGCGCTCCAACAACCATTTTTGGGAAATCCATGCTAGGAATGCAAATCATGTTTATCTAGCCTTGCAACCAAGAAAGTAACAACAAATATAGAAGGAAGCCTACAAGAAATTTAGAATGAAACCTGCAAAATTTGATGGGAAGGGTGGGGGGGGAAGAGAGAGAGAGAGAGAGTATTTAATAAGAACCATACCATAATTAGAAAATTCTGTAATCAATTGCATCTCACAGGATGAGGGAAAATAAATTATTAGAATTTGCTTTGCATTGCCGATGCAATCGGGTAGTAGCAGATAAACAAGATTCCCAGTTTCAGATAATGTCACATTGTATCCCTAACAAAATTATCATTTATGACATTTGTCACCATAGAGATTAGTAACTCTTCTTATTCAGCAGTGCATGTTGGGAAACATTTTCATCAATCAAGACAGAAAGCTCCATGCCACTCAATGTCCATAACAATAGGTCGTCCCTGACCAAACAGGAACCCTGCTGATCCGAAGTATCTCCAACCATTTCATTAATCAACCCTCCTGGTAGTTCAATACGATACGCTCACTATCCGATAACATGTAACGAGAAAAAAACATAGAATAATACCAGGAAAGAAAAGCACACAATATAAACTGATTTTCAAAAGAAAAAATTGGAACCAAGGTTGCCATTTCCGTTTGAGAATTGCCAGTTGTGCAATCAATTAGCTACTAAAGATTGGAAATGATCCATAAGATAGAAAATCATAATAATCATAATAATAATGGTGGTGATGATGATTCTTAATCTTAAAAGCCACTCAGAGAACATTTGCTCTGTCCATTGATACGAGTAACACCTAGAACAAGACATGCATAAATCTCAAAAGCTAATTCTTCCTTGAAAGCAATTTTGTTTCACTTCTACCCTTGCACAGTCCACAGCCCCCTACTTAACATCTTATTGACAATACTATTATTATATGTGCATCAGTCTCTGAGTATATTCCAATTTGGCACATGACACAATCAACTGTTGACAACATCTCATGAACAATGATTTAGAGACAACACAAAATGACAGAAGTAAAACCTGTTACATGAGAATGCATATGCGTCACCGCATGCGACATTTGGAACCTTGTCTGCAGATAACAACAGACGGATAGAGTGTACATGAGAGAGACAGAGAGAGGCCCCATACCACTGCCAAACTTGAAAGAAAAAGCCAAATGAATGTTTTTAGCAATCTTCCATATTTTTTCTTTTCCTTGTTCCCTTTTTTTTTCGGTGTGGAGCGATGCGGGGTGGGGAAGAGAGAGAAAGAGTAATTGAACAGAATTTCCAATGAACAGCAACAATATAAAGGTGTGAAATACCAAAGAACAAAAAGAAGACAAATACTCTTCGAGAACTATGCTGCTCCAGATGCCGCATTTTATTTTCCGCCTCAGAAGCCGCCTCAACCATACCTTGATTGGTGTTGGCTTGGGCCATAGCTGAAAATGTTACATAATCAAGTTTGCTCTGCTTTTCCTTCGTCAATACAAACATCTCCTCCATCGTTTCTAAATCTCCAGCTCTACATGTGCGATGATGATGCAATAGAAAAGTTGGGCATCCAAAAAAACTCCAGAGCTATCCAATTGTCTCAAAAGTGGCGAATCTTTTTGATGCAGGGAGAAATGATAAACCAGAAAAATAAAAATATAAAATAAAAAAGATTGAGAGAATATACCCTCTCTCAAGTTCTGCAAAAAAATCCACCTTAAAAAAATCTTTTCACAAGATCAAATTTACTCAATGCTCATTATCTCTACCCTACAATGAGGGACTTCTTTCTTTTAAATAGACCTGAAAAGAAAATCAATAAATAAATAAAATGAAAAAAAAAACTCTTATCTCTCTAACTCACGTCACTCTCCATTATCCATTATCTCTCTCTAAGTCACGCCACTTTTTATTATCCCTTATCTCTAATAAAAACTAAAAAAATAATAGCACTAAAAATTTTGAATTTTTCCTAATATTTATCTGCATCACTTTTCCGGAAGCCCCACTTTACAAATATCCATTGACGAGAGAACAATAAGCGATAAAATTAGATTTCACACCCTGCATTTTCATCATATGGAAGATACACTCTATTTCTTCAATGTTTCCCTCACTTCCAAACATTTCTATAATTATATTAAAACTCAGCTGTTATTGAGAAATACCACCTCCTCATAAAATCCAGTACTGATGTCATTTTCTGATGCATACCAACTACCACTTCTTCATTTCTTCAATCTGTCTATAGTGACCATAAGCCACATAAAAGCATTACATAGTGTATATATCCAGTAGGCATCTACCTGTTTCAAGCATTTATGTCAGTAACTCTTCCATACGGTTGAGCATTCCAGCGATGCCACATCCATCAATTATACAATTGCGACAGCGGTTAAGTTCAACCTCATAATCAAAGACAATTAATTCTATCAAAACGGGACTCTCAAATGCAACAGTTCATGAGAAGTATCAATGTCTATATAACTATATATCAGGTTACAATCAGAAATGGACTTCATTTCATCAATTAAATGCAATGTTTCGTCAAAACAACCACTGAGGCCATAAGCACCCAGAAATGATGCATAGACATCAAATGTTGGTCTGAGTCCTTTAACAAGTATGGTTTGGAAGAGTGGGCATGCCTGCTCATGTCATTTACATTTGCCAAGCATTTAAAAGGGTTTTACGAATATTTGAGATTTTGGATGATACCAATTTTGCACGCAGAGTAATTGAAAAATCTGCAAAATGGGTGATCAAATAATATCAAGATCACTGTATTGAACTTCTCTTGATGAAAAATGCTTGGTTTCCATTACATCAAAGTTTCTTCAAGTGTCAAAAGGCATAAAATAACCCTGATTGTGTATTCTAAATGCCTAAAATGTAACAAGACCATCTATTCATGCGGACAACTATTAGAGCAAGGCATGTTCAAGAGTACAAAGTATATGATATACTTCATCCCTATTCGTCGGGGGTAACGTGTGGGAGCACACAACACACGCTAGACTAAAAAGTCTTTACATTGTCAGGTTTGTTGCTCAAAATGGCCTGGGAAAGCCCGAAAATTTGCAACCAGGCTGGCTGGCTGGCCCAGTAGACCTGAACTTTGTTTTGCCCAACCCAATAAAGTTTGGCCCAAATAACAGTCCGACCCGGTCCATTTAGAACCCTCCCCCCCCCCCCCCCCTTTTTTTTAAAAAACCTCTTCACTCTTCAAACTTTTCTTACTTGTAGTAAGCCAAAATAAAATAAAATTCTCTCTAAAAACCCATTCTCTCTAAAAAACACAATCTTTCTCTCTCTTTCTCACAACCCATTCTCTCTCTCTCTCTAGGAACCCAATCTCTCTTTCTCTCTCTAAAAAAAGAAAATTACGAATAAATTCGTTATATTTATTGTTATTACAAATCTACCAAAAAGAACCGTTAATTACATTCATATTTTCGTATATTACATACATATCTGTTTTCAGGTTGGCCAAAACTTTTTTCCAAAATTGCCCAAGAGAAAAAGAGAATGGAAATTTGGTGCGTATCCAGTAGCCTTCTCGATCTTTCAAACACCGGAATAATTATATTTTTGAGTTTTGAATATCCTAAAATTTAAAAAATTTGGATTTTGAAAGTTCTAAAATGTTGAAAGGCTACTGAAATTTTGTTGCGTTTCCAGTAGCCTTCTCGGTCTTTCAAACACCGAAACAACTATATTTTCGGATTTTGAATATCCTAAAATTAAAAACTTTTGGATTTTGAAAGTCCGAAAATGTTGAGAGGCAAATGGAAATTTGTAGTGTTTCCAGTAGCCTTTCGGTTTTTCAAAGAATGAAATCATCGTATTTTCAAATTTTGAATGTCCTAGAATTAAAAAAATTTGAAAATTTGAAAGTCCAAAAATGTTGAGAGGCTACTGGAAATTTCTTGTGTTACTAGAAATTTGTAGTGTTTCCAGTAGCCTTTAAAATCCAATAAGAACATGACAAAAACTTGTGAGGGAAATAAATGCGAATCGTAAAAATCCAAAAATTCAGGACTTTAGGATATTGAAAATCCCAAAATTTCATATCTAGGCAACCACGCTAAAAATTATTTCGGATCTTGAAATTCTGAAAAAGGTAATTTGGTCATTTTCAAAAATGTTGAAACTTGCAATAACGAATAAAACATGGGTATAGTAGTAATAACATAAATATTTTGGTTGATTTATAATAACATTAAATATAACGGATTTATGCATAATTTTCCCACAAAAGTATGCATATCCTTTTTCTTTTTTTTTAATGTTCAAAAGTATGTATATCCTACTGCAAGAAAAGGCACCGTTAAACTAGTTAAGTAAAAAGTAGATGCTATTCTTATAAAAACATTCCATAGGTCAAGAATACATATACGAGGACAAATACATTGTAACAAATAAACCCTATTTTTAGTTAGAGAAATCACATATTTCCATAATGCATTAAGTTCTACTACACAAAGTTTAGCCATAACTTAATTTTAAATCAATGGCATGTCTAATTTTTGCCATTACAGGCTGCCTTTGTCATATAGTGTGAAAACCCAAGCTGGTTTAAATACTGAAAATAGAGAGGCGTGCCAAGAGTAAATATTGCTTTCCACTTGGGTCTTATCCAACGGTGGTTAGTGAATCACAATGTTAACTAACTATGGTAAGTGAAATTGGTTGGGTAAAGTAACTCAGCCTTCACCATTATAAATAGTGGACTGGCACTCTCTCTGTCTCATACACATATAACCACTTCCAGTCCTCTCCCGCACATCAAAAGGCCTCACCTCTATCGAAGGGATATCCCCCATCCCACTTTTCTTCATCTAGGATAAGTTTTTTTCATACTTTTTGTTCCTTCCTTGTTAACTTAGAACAGATTTACCCACTCTCATCATCTTTGGCTTGTTTGGCATCATTTTTCTTGATACCCCACCTTTGTCATTGTCCTTTATTTTTCTTCTAAGCTCCTGGGAGACCATGTTTAAATCTGTAGCCATAGAATATGTATACACAAAGCCAAATATAGCAATAGAATATGTCTACCAGGAGCCCAAGTTTTCCAGAGGCTTTCACCATTCCTATATTAGAAAAAAAAAAAAGGCGGTCTGTGATATCAATCAGAGGTATGGTTCTTGGGAGGAAATTATTGAATTATATCCTCGCACGCTTGTGTGTCAGCAAAAATATAGAGATCGAGAGGCTTAAGAAGGCCATGTAGCAAATAGTATGTTTGTGGATCAAATGTATCCAATTAGTGGGCTAAGCGGTGAGGAAGGCTTGAACCTTACCACTTCTTTGAACTGAGAAAAAGAATGAGATTGAAGATTTGAACTTTAATCCTTTGAGCCAAGAGAGCAGGGGTTGATTGGTTTTCACTATATAGGAATAGAGAAAATCACACCCACGTGAAGATGTGAGAATTATTAAAGCCTGACAATATGCAGATATGATTTATATATATAGTACAGAGAATCAGAGATACCAAAAATCACACTTACATAAAGATGAAGATGTAGGAGGACCAGCCTATTGAAGGTGAAGATGCCAGAGGTCCAACTAATGATGAGAGAATCGGTCAAGTCTAATAATATGTAGTTGTGATTTCTATTCACAGCACATATATAAGGAAGATCACACCTAAATGAAGATGAATATGAAGAGGAAAAATAGGGAAGATGACACTTATGTCAAGATGAATATGCTGGAGGAGAAGCTTGTTGATGTTGTTCTCTTTTTTTTTTGACAATTCGCTTGTTGATGTTGTTATTTGGGTGACAATAAATTTGTATAGATGTTGCATGCATCTAAGGCCATAATTTTACGGGATTGACTATAAAGAGATTATTTATCTTTTGTACATAGAAGTCACAATCATTCTTGTCTCTTAAATTTCAAAATGGGCGGTTGTAAGACTGTCATTGAATAGACACAAAGTTCCAAAAAACAATTCTCGGACTTCGTGACTCACCCCAAGCCATCCAATTTGACATCTAATAAGTGGGAATGATTGTGACCCCCCCATGTACAAATGATAAATGGTTTATTTGTAGACAATCCCTAATTTCATATGCATGTGAGGATTTTATAATTCAAGTAAAGAGTGATCTATATGTTATTTTGTTTACATTTCTTTATGTGTAAAATAAGAATGCAATGTAAGTCATTTAAAAAAAGAAAAAAAAAAGAGGAAGAAAAAAAGAACAGATAAATCAAAAGGAACATGATATTATATTATTTTGCTAAAGTTTGACAAAAAAGAAACGAAAACTTTGATAATCTCTGTTGCTGGTTAAGAAAGAATACCCATTTATCTGTCGAAAATGATAACATATCAAACCATGGGTAATTTGCATATATGTTGCTTGTTGTCTTCAGCATTGCCACTGGCTCCATGCATCCAATATCATTTAGGCCGTCAAAAGAGAAGGAAAACCATCAGTACATCTTCACCACACTTTCTAAAATTTTGAAAAAAGCCAAGAAACAGAAAATTATAATTTTGAATAACGGAGGAATCAGGTGAGGGTGTGATTGGTTAAGGTGTTAAGAGCTGCCAAACTACATTCAACTTTGAATTGCACTGCTGAACTACCATAAAAAAGAAATCGATAATTCATCATCATCCAAGCCTTATTCCAAATATTTGGGGTAGGCCATGTGAATCTTGTTCCTCTATTCTTTTTTATCAAGGGTCATACTCTTAATAAGATTAAAAATCACCATTTTATTTTCACTACTTCTATCCATGTCGTTTTGGGCCTCTTCCTTACCCTTTTAGAGCTTTCCACTTGAACCAAATTGCACCCCCTAACCAGATTAGTATTGGTTAAGGTGTTTTCTTTTTTGGGGGGTAATTCAATGGGGCAAACAAGCCCCTACCCATTTTTCGAAATAGTTTAGGAGTTAGTTTTTTGAAGGTGTTATTGGGGTGGTGTAAATGGGAATGGAAACCACAACATGGTGAACAGGATGTGGGGGGACCACCACCACGACTCCAGCCCCTTTGCCAATTGGTTAAGGTGTTAAGAACTGGCAAAATACAACCAAGTTTGAATCCCACTGCTGAACTACCCTAAATGAGAAATGGATAATTAATGGAGGAAATATGGCAATGGACTTGCAAACACAAGATTACACAGGTATTTCCAATTTTAATCAATATATATGCATCTTGTGAAGTTGTGATAACAACGATTTTCCTGTATACAGATCTGTTGGCATTAAATCTCTTGCCAAAAATATACCTGGTTCTATATTCTAGATGTAAATATACATCCCAAAAGCAACATCTGCTTAAAGGGAGAAAACAAGAAATCTTCCTCTGTCTTCAGTGATGAAGAGAATGGAAGAAAATCTAGACAAGCAATAACCAGATTGATTAATTCTAACATAGGAGAAACACATAGGAGATTATAGACTCTGTCAAGCACACACATTAATTCTAACATAGGAGAAACACATAGGAGATTATAGACTCTGTCAAGCACACACATTAATTCTAACATAGGAGATTATAGACTCTGTCAAGCACACACATTATTGGCTGGATATGTGGCTAAGGGCCCTATAATGGAAACTAAGGTAGAAGAACCATCAGCCAATTGGTTGCGAGACTAGACCAGGAAGTCACTTCATATTCAATATTCTGACTTCGATAATCACACTTGAAGAGTAACACTGTCAACCAAATAATGAAGTTATCCTGATCTGGAATAAGGTCGCCGCACACTCATAATCTATGCACCAAGCTTGCCAAGGCAAAGAACAGCTTGGAGATAACCACTCAGCAGTCTACGTTGCCATAATGACAAGGAGGGCAGGTATGATCTTCTCCTTGACTACCCATCAAATGCAATCTAGATAGAGACAGGCAACAGCTCTGAGAAAGGTATCCCTAACCAGACTAATGCCTGAGATATTGTTGGAGACTGGTTGACAAAGAAATTAGAAGTGGTGATCATTAACACCACATGGAAAACCAGCTTTTCGCTGCTAGATGGCACACTTGGTGTGCTAGAGATAGCATACCACATAATACATAATTAGGCTGAACGCGCTCCAGCAACCACTTTTTGGGAAATCCATGCTAGTATGAACAGGAATGCAAATCATGTTCATCTAGCCTTGCAACCAAGAAAACAACAACAGCAACAACAAACATAGATGAAACCTACAACAAATTTAGAATGAAACCTGCAAATTTTGATGGGAAGGGTGGGGGGAGGGAGAGAAGGGAAGGGGCCAAGAGAGAGAGAGAGAGTATTTATTCAGAACCATACCATAATTAGAAAATTATGTAATCAATTGCATCTCAAAGGATTAGGGACAAGAAATTACTAGAATTGCTTTGCATTGCCAATGAGATCGGGCAGCAGCAGATAAACAATATTCTCAGCTTCTGGTAATGTCACATTGTATCACTCACAAAATTACCATTTATGCCCTTTGTCACCATAGAGATTAGTAACTCTTCTTTTTCAGCAGTGCAAGTTGGGAAATATTTTCGTCAATCAAGAGAGAAAGCTCCATGCCACTCAATGTCCATAACAATAGGTCGTCCCTGACCAATCAGGCACCTGTTGATTCAAAGTATCTCCAACCATTTCATTAATCAACAATATGATACCATCACTATCCGATAACATGTAAGGAGGAAAAAACATAGAATAATACCAGGAAAGAAATCTACATAATATAAATATATTTGGAAAAGAAAAAATTTGAACCAAGATTACTATTTCCTTTTTAGAGTTGCCAGTTGTGAAATCAATTAGCTACTAAAGATTGGAAATGATCCATAAGATAGAAAATCATAATAATAATGGTGGTGATGATGATTCCAAATCGTAAAAGCCACCCAGAGAACATCTGCTCTGTCCATGGATATGAGTAACACCTAGAGCAAGACATGCATACATCTCAAAAACTAATTCTTCCATGAAAGCAATTTTATTTAACTCCTACTCTTGCACGGTCACGACTCCCTACTTAACATCTTATTGATACTACTATCATTATGTGTGCATAAGTCCCAGAGCATATTCCAATTTGCAAAAAAAAAAACGGCTCATGAACAATGATTTAGAGATGACACAAAATGGCAGAAATAAAACAGTTACATGAGAATGCATATGCATCACTGCATGCGAATATCAACACATTTGGAACCTTATCTGCAGCTAACGACAGACAGATAGAGTGTACATAAGAGAGATGGAGAGAGAGAGGCCCCATACTGCTGCCAAACTCGAAAGAAAAAGCCAAATGAAGTTTTTAGGTATCACAGTCTTCCATTTTTTTTCTTTTTTCTTGTTCCTTTTTCTTGGGTGGGGTGGAATGCGGGGTTTGGAAGAGAGAGAAAGAGCAATTGAACTGAATTTCCAATGAACAGCAACAAATATAAAGGTGTGAAATACCAAAGAACAAAAAGAAGACAAATACACTTCCAGAACTATGCTGCTCCACATGCCACATTTTAGTTTCCACCTCAGAGGTAGCCTCAACCATACCTTGATTGGTGTGAGTATAGACCATAGTTGATAATGCTACATAATCAAGTTTGCACTGCTTTTCCTTCGTCATTGCAAACATCTCCTCCAATTGTTTCCAAATTTCCAGCACCACATGTGTAATGATGATGCAGTAGAAAAGTCAGGCATCCGGAAACACTCCAGAACTATCCAATTGTCTCAAAATTGGCAGATCTTTTCCAGAAGTCCCACTTTATAAATATCCATTGATAAGAGAGCAGTAAGTGGTACAATTTGGTTTCACCCCCTGCACTTTCATCATACGGAAGATACACTCCATTTCTTCAATGTTTCCCTCACTTCCAAAAGTTTCTGTAATTGTATTAAAACTCACAGTTGTTGTTGAGAAATACCACCTCCTCATAAAATCCAGTATTAATGTCATTTTCTGATGCATACCACCTCTACCATTCGACTTAATCAAGATATTAAGAGTCTGAATGTCTGGCTCCATACCCATGTGCTGAGTTTATCATACCACTTCTCCATTTCTTCAATCTGTCCATGGTTAACATAAAGCCAAATAAAAGCATTCATGGTGTATATATGCAGTACGCATCTACCTGTTACAAGTATTTATGGTAGTGACTCTTCCATATGGTTGAGCATTCGACCCATGCCACATCCATCAATCATACAATTGTGACAGTGGTTAAGTTCAACCCCATAATCAAAGACGCAATTAATTCTATCAAAACGGGACTCTCGAATGCAACAGTTCATGAGAAGTGTCAATGTGCAGATATTAGGTTTACAATCAGAAATGGACTTCATTTCATCATTTTAAATGAAATATTTTGTCAAGACAACCACTGAGGCCATAAGCACCCAGAAGTGGTGCATACTTGCACAGATATCAATTGTTGGTCTGAGTCCTTTTACGAGCATGGTTTGGAAGAGTGAGCTTGCCTGCTCATGTCGTTTACAGTTGCCAAGCATTTAAAAGAGCTTTACACATGTTTTGAGATTTTGGATGACACCAATGTTGCTCACAGAGTAATTAAAAAATGTGAAAATATGGGCGATCAAATAATATCAAGATCACTGTATTAAACTTCTCCTGAAGAAGAATGCTTGTTTTCCATTACATCAAAGTTTCTTCAAGTGTCAAAAATCATAAAATGACCCTGATTGTGTATTCAAAATATCTAAAAATGTAACAAGACCATCAATCCATGCAGACAGTTATTAGTGCAAAGCATGTTTACAAGTACAAATGTAAATGTTATACTTCATCCATATTCGTCAGGGGTAAAGGTGTCTAGTTTGGCAATTAATTTGATCATGAATAATATATTTCTTTTGCCATGAATATCGCATTTATGGGATCATGAGACCCATGCGGCTCACTCTGACCCAATACGAATACTTGCCGCATTTGTCATGTAGCTTTAAAAAGCATTTCTTCTAAACGATAAACGCTCCTCTAAAAGTTACAACTCAATGTAGTAAAAGTCAGCCATGTAGGCTGACTAAGCAAAGGGGCCCAAGGCGACTCACCTAGACAGGCCTCCTAATCCAGAGACTAGTTGGATTACGTGCCACCTGAGTGAATGAATACCAAGTGTCAAGCTCCCACACCCAAGCCCAGATTCAAGAGTGGTAACATGCATCGGGCAGGGACAAAAAAAAAGGTATTTTTACCCATTAAAAGGGGGAGAGAAAGAAAAGAGGAGGGAAAAGGGGGAAGAGGGGGGAGGGGGAGGAAGGAATGGAATGGTCAAGGGACTTCTCCTCCTAAGCCAGAGACTAGTTGGCCTAGGTCCCACCTGAGTGGGTACCGGGTCAAGCTCCCACACCCAAGCCCATATTCAAGAGTGGGAACATGCATCAAGCAGGGACAAAAAAAGGGAGGAGAGAAAGAAAAGGGGAGGAAAAACGGGGGACGAGAGGGGAGGGGGGACGGGGCAGGGGTGAAGGAATGGGATGGTCGAGGGACTTCTTTAAAATGAGAATCTTCCAAAATTCTCTAGTTTATGTTTCTTTTAAATTTTTTAAAAACAAAGAAGAATGAAAGTTTCCAAAGCTTGTGTGACCAACAAAGAAGCAACAAGCAAGAGAAGAGTTTTGGCATCCAACAATTCGGCCCATCCGCAATTAGGGTGTCAAAAGGTTGTCCTTCTTTCTTCTCGTTTATTTCAAAAGAAGTTTTTTTCTGAAATGTCACCTTCAGGACCGGGAAATTATTCAATCCCAGAATGAAATCTACAAAACTACACCCATCTTTGTCCTCTCCAAGGTTTGGTCAACCATCACCCCTCCTAAAGTGCAGACCTTCAACTGGATTGCATGTTCCCAAAGGGCTCTCAGACTTGACCAGTTCCAAAAGAAAGGGATTCCTATCCCTAACAGATGTGTGCTATGTCTAAGCGACGAGGAATCGAACCCACACCTTTTCATCCACTGTAACATAGCACACGACCTGTGGGGCCTCTTAATCCAGCTGTTTGAACTCCAATGGGTCACCTCACCTTCGATCACAGTTCTAATCTCCTCGTACCTCCCCTCTCATTGGCCGAAGGCTAGAAGACCTTTATGGAAGGCTATGGTTGCAGCAACTTTATGGTTCGTTTGGTTAGAAAGGAACGCCAAGATCTTTCAAGGCCATAAAAATGAAGTTCCAGACAACTGGTTGGCCCCTCCAGAAGGCACCATCAAACTTAACTTCGATGGTTGCTCTCTAGGGAACCCTGGCCCAACGGGAGCCGGTGGAGTCTTCAGCGACCATCAACACAACATCATGCTCACTTATTCCGAGCACTTAGGCCATGAAGACTCTCAGTGAAGCCATGGCTAAGCTTTTGGGGATTAAACGCTTTAATCGTACTTGGGGATCACACCTTTGTGTAGAAGGAGACGCTCAAAATATTATTTCCTGGGCAGCGGGGACCACACCACCTCCGTAGTACTTATCCCCTATATTTGATGAGATTGCTTACACTTGCAGGGATATGGCCGTCTCCTGGAAGCATATTTGGAGGACGTCCAACAAGGTCGTCGATCTTCTGACGAAAGACAGAGCTAGGACACTAGCAGAAGACCTTGCCTAGACAAGTATTTTTTTTGGGTTGCAGTTGTTCAATAGAAGCCGCCGGTCCATTTCTTGCTCTGGACCACTGTGGGCATACCTTTGGTTATTCACACTTGTTGTAGTTTTATTATAGCCGCTAGTCCATCTCCTTTTTTGCACTGGACCACAGTAGGTGCACATTTCTTTATTCACGATCCAGTACATCCCTTGTAATCGGACAATTCTATAAGCCCCAACTTTTTTGTATAGGGTATTTTGACCTCTTTTTTTTTACTGAGAGGCCCGACTTGTGGGTACTCTCGAATAGCCTTTCTGTATCATGTTACTCTCACAGCAATACAAAAGTTAACTTTATCAAAAAAAAAAAAACGAAATCTGCAAAACTACACAATGCATATACTAAGTTTCATTTTAAGAAAATGGAGCTTTTAGGGTGTCGCTTAGGCAGAACTAATACACTACACAGACTCCAATTTGTTACAGATCACAAAGATACCAAAACTCCACATTGTTAAGTACTACATGAAACCATTGGAGTCTCGTGACTAAGAAGAGAGAGAGAGAGAGAGAGATACTGAGAGAGAGAGAGAGAGAGAAAGCGAGAGAGATACTGAGAGTGTGATGCTCGTCATTTATTCCTTAAATTTTATGTCAAAATATTCCAAGGAGTCTCACTGCTAAGGAGCTTTCTTTTTAGTCAAATTTTTGACAATCAACTATTGGGATTTGGTGTTTTGGGCTCAAGCAAGGACTCTGGAATTTTAAAGTAATAGTTAATATTACTGACGAAAATAGCCATGCGCTGGATTTTGATGGTGATCTTGGATCAAAATTTCCAATAATGCAGATTTTCTATTTAAACCTCTACTTCACCTTTGCAATCAGAACCCTTTTTCTTTTTTGTTTGATTGGGAATAGTCACGAATAAAGAAAGCACCACCATACAGCTACAACCTTCATTATCATAAACTATGGAAATGTAGAAATGCGATCCCCGCCTCTTGAAACAAATTTCTATATATAGGACAATGCTGAGATTAGCCCACTAGCTCATAGGAGCATATGCGTTCATATGAGTCCAAAAGCCAAGATTGAATCTGGGCCATGGTCACGACCTCATTTCGTATTTTAATTTTAATTTTTTTTTCCACAAATCAAAATAATTTGAAATTTTAGCCACGTGTTTTTCAAAAATAGGATAATCTAATAAAAATATCAAAACAAAATTTGCAAGATAATAAAAATTACCAAAATACCCTTAAAAATTTGGGGGGTATTTTTGTCAATTTAGTTTTTGAAAAATATTTTTAAGATATTTTTGTTAAGTACGACTTGATGAGAAGAATAAACACTTAAAATTTCAAATTATTTGGATTAATATTAAAAAAATTAAAATTCAAATACGAAATGAGGTCGTGACCATCAGATTAGCCGGGGTCATATGTTCATATGAGCTAATGGGTTAATCCCAGCATTTTTCATATA